CTAAAGTATTTGTGAAGCCACTGTCCTTTGAAAGGTCCTCTTTCAGCTTACATAAAACAGAGCGCCCGCTAAGGTAAGGCTGAGTTAGGCACTGTACTAGGATGTTGTCTTCTGCGCAACCATACCAAATGCCATGCACATGTACCGGTATCGTGCTAATCAAGGTGGATAAGAGCAGTGAGCACACTCCATCAACTATCTGTGAATTAAACATTATTTGGTTGGTGACACTGCAGGAGGTGTTTGTGTCTGACCTCTTAGATGTCCACCCTGGGAGAGAACAGGTTAAGTGCTGAGGAAAGGACACAAAGCAAACTACTACAAAGACATCAGAGCTTTACATCTCTCCTTCTTCTGGGACACCCCTGTGAAGCCAGGCTGGCGGGAATCTCCCACATGGCGCCTGGCTTTCCCATTCTCTGTACCATAAAGTGCATGAGAAAGCCCAGACCACCTGAAGTGAAGGCTCATCTCATTTGATTCTGTTCCTTCTGTAATGGCATTCCAGAAATACCAACTGTTACAAAACCTGAAAACAGTCGCTCCCTCTGTGCTGTCAAGCTTTCTAGTTATTTAAAGAGGAACGACATGCACCATGTGAGTGACCCCATGGTGACAGAAACAGGTGTCAGACACACTGTCTTTACCAGTGTGACCCTAACATCTACATTTTACTTTAGACACCTTTATTTTTTCTGCTTCTTCATATAAGAAATTGGGGATGCAGAGATGGAATTTTAATAAAAAGGAATATGCTAATGATTAACAAAGTATGCAGAGGTATATCAACACGAATAACGAATTAAAGTATTATAAGTAGATTGCATATTTTCAAGCCTGGAGCTCAGTGAAACAGCTTCAAGCCACCTGATTCCTCAGAGAGAATAGAGCTAGTCTGTCACTCTCATGGCTCACAATAGCAGACAAACACTGGCACACGGGGTGTGAGGAAGAAAAAAAAAAATTGTTTCAAGTCTGCTCAAAGCTTTGTTGATATTTCACTGATTGCAGGATGAACCTACATCCTCACATTTAACAATAACTTTTAAAATGTCCTCTTATGATGCTTTCTGAATTCTTGAAAAGGTCCTGAAATCTTAGGAATTAATTTAACTGGAAATGCAATATGCCATCCACTTATCTTCCCAAGCCACTGGCTCACATTTTTGTCTTCATGTTCTCAAGGTTAAGTCCTACTTGGACTGCATCTGTTCCTAGTCTGCACAAATTTTCTCAGGCTGTAGTGTCTAACTCTTGAAAAACCTTGGTCTCTTAGTCCCATCACTGTATTTCCACTGGTATCAAGAGCTAGTAAAAATGTACTTTTCCTCTGTGGGGGAGATTATCCTGCTCACATATACCACGAAAGAGAGTCTCAACATTTGCTAAATTTTTCTTCTCAACTATTTATTTATTAACTAATTTATTTATGCTCTGTAAGAGAGAATCTTACTCTGCAGCCCACTCTGGCCTTAAATTCACTATAAGCCCACTGCCTCAGCCTTTCAAGTATTGAGAATACAGCCATGAACCATTATAACCAGATTTTCTCCATAACCTTACATACTAGTAAATTGAGACACTTCTGCATGAAACCAAATTTTGAAACAAATACAATATAAACACACACTACATTTATCTAAATTCTCTTTACAATAAAATAATTTTACATTTACACTGTAATAGTTCTTTGCTTCAAAAAAAAAATCTGTAGGTATGGTAAGAAAAAAAATTCACCTTTTTTTTTTCTGAGCAAAATTCTGATGAACTAACTCATTGCTAAGAATTAAATCACAAATTTTGCAAAAGCAGTCAAGCTGATATTGTGGGCAATGGGCTACTGTTTAATTTGCAATTACACGGGCAATTACGAAACCACTTTAAGATAATTTAGCCTCAGGAGGATCACTAACATAACCTCTCCCATAAAGCACAATTCCAAGGGGAAAGGAATCACATGCAGAATAATTTAACAGAAAATAAGGATCTTAAAACTAAGGTACTAATCTCCCAAACTGAGCAAAGTCCTCTGTTCCAAAATTGGGGGAGCATACTGACGCAGTGTTTATTCCCCAGTGTTAGATTCATTATGTCTGGGATTTGCAATTAAAACTGAAATGCAGTCAGCCTTGGGAGCCGTCGAGCACAATGTGCTTTCCTACAGGTCAGCCAAGAGACTGAAAACAAAAACACACACAAAACATACCACTCTGACTCCTGCTTTGATAACACAGCTGAGTCAGTCCCTTTGTTTAATATAACCAAAGCCTTTCAAGCTAAGGCTCAGTGACAGGTGGTTTTGGCAAGTGTGCATGCAGCTTTGGGACACAAAGTCACGGAAGGAAGCAGCTTATTTGAAAGACATACTGAGAGAGTGGGGGGTTAGAGAGCACAGACAGTTTCTGATTTTGAGAAAAGGGTGTTGTAATCCACTGAGTACTGCAGTCAGTTGGAGATAGGATCCACTGTCTAGAAAAACTGCTCTCTGACCTCTTGGTCTGTAAATTCTCTTAGTTATCAAACCATGATGGTTTGTTTGTTTGTTTGTTTATACAAACAAATTCCAACACAGATTCTAGAACCTGGGAACAATCTCAACCAGCAAACCAGAAACCCATAAGTATGATCATGAAAGCTTTATTTTCCAAAATAGTAATTTTTAAAGAACACAAAGAATACACACTGAAGGGAGGCCATCTGGTTTACCTTCTGCTTAGAGCTTTTTAGAGCGAAATGGCTCTGTGTGTGGAAAATATTATTGCAATATTCTTCTCTCTAAATACACTCATGATATGCATATAGAGATAGTTATCAAGACTAAAATATATATTTAAATAGGGATTATATGCAGTGGGTGATTATCAATTTATGAAGTTTTTCAGTTCAGAAAATTGTTTTTTTCCATCTTGCCAGTAAGAAATATTAATGGATTTACACAAAGTTGAACAGGGATGGGGAATATTTTAAATTAATTCATTATTTATGATTCATGTCTCTGGCTGTAGGTGTTAATAGCAAAACAACAACAGAAATAAAGGTTAAAGCTTGCAATTGCAAAGTTTCCCTGCACCTGACTTATTTACACTATCTCTACATCAACATGAGTAATTGGAAGTTGTTTTATTTCCAAAGCAACGATTTTATCGGCCACCCAAACTCTATTTTAGCTTACAGTCATTATTTACCAAAGATCTAACAAACCAAAGGAGATGACCAAAAAAAAAAAAAAAATTGTGTTATTTTGACAGAGCATTAAAACAACTTTTCAACAGTCATGGCATTAATTATCAAGCTAAGTGTGAGACATCTGAACATGTCACCCAGACTAACAGCCCACGATTCATCCTTACCTGCAGTCCACAAAGCAACATCCCAATATCAAGGAGAGTGAGATCAATGTTCCATATCACCCACCTGTTCTCCTCAGAGTGTCTCAACTGGGAATAACTGTCTCAAGTTTGGCCCTTTACACTTTTAATCCTCCCTTTTCTGGTCTCTTTTTATCCTTTGAATTTATTCAAGTCCAGGCTATTATAAAAGAAACTGTGCACATATTAAATTCCTAGGTCAAATATCCTGTCTCTCTAATCTCATTATCCTCTAGACATCTTTGAAAGTTTGTCCTCGCTAAGACGTGAGCTGTAATAAACGCAGTGACTTTTAAATGACCTGTGTTATAAATGGTAACTTCTCAGGGAGAGGCAAGGAAAATGAGTTAGCTATGAATGTATCACCATATTTCATTTACTCTAATTCCTCTTTATTTCTTACTTTTCATCTTGCTACCTAACAGACATCTCCATGTTACTATTTCCAAAGATGAGTTCTTGATAAATTGATCCAATCTTACTAAAATCCAATTTTACTATACATGTACTTTTATCCTCAAAAACAGCACCACGTTTTGGGTGTCAAAACTCTGGAGCCATCCTTGCTTGAGAAGAACGCAGATCTAATCAGTCAACACAACATCTTTTTTTCCTGATACACACAACCACTTTTGCTTGACTGGACACCAAAGTTGACTCCTGTCCCCCAAAGTCATCAGGAATCAGAGAAGAAAGGTTTTTTTTTTTTTTTTTTTTTTTTTTTTTAAATATAAATGAGATAAATTCCACTTTCCAGTTTGAGTCACTTATCATTGTAATTAGAATATATATTTAAAAAAAATGATAGTTTTTTCTTTATATACTGTGACCAGGCCCTAGGGATATGTCTAAAATATTTTTTTTTCTGTTTTTTACTCTTTTATCCTCCTCCATGAACTACAATGCCCTTGTACATAACAAGCACAGACTTCTAAGTGTATGTCCAACAATGGGTTCCCGCATGTCTGGAACACAGTACATCACAGGATGCCTCACTTTATGCAGGCATTTATTCACCACAATACCTCTCACTAACACAGAATACTGTTCTCATTCACGCTTTCATTGACTTGATCATTTGTCTTCAGAGGATTTATAATTGATATTCAATAATAAAGAACAGGCTTTTGTTTGTGTGTTTGCTTTGGGGTTCTGTTGTTGGTTTGTATCATATTCCCCCTATCATACTTGCCTATCATATTTATATAAGGACAGCGAGCTTGTTCAGTTTCACATGGCCCTATCCCTAACAAGCCAAGCATCCTGATGCATAGGAGATTCTTAATTAATAGTTCTTGGGAAAACAAATGAATTCAAAAAAATCAAGTTCTAGCTATGAAAGGCTCATATGCACAGGCCATCCGTAGTGTTACAGACCCTAAAAGAACACCTACAATCATCCAAGTCCTATCATATTCCTAAATGAGAATCTCCCAGGTCTACAGAAAACTATAAGAATCCATCATGCTACTTTGTCAAAAGGCATATAAAAAAAATGTACTTTTTTCTTCTATACTCTGTGACAAAAACCTATCAGAGTTTATATAAATATGAGTTTCTAAAGTTTTAAGATAATGGTTTTCCCTTAAGAACTTTACTAACTGAGAAATAGTGGGAAAAAAAGGTACTTACCTCCCTTTTTCTACTAAGAGTAACACATCTAATTTTTCTCCATTTTGAACCATTGTGCTGATTGCTGGAGAGATAAAAGGAAGAATATTTCTTTTTAATGTTAAAATGTGCTTAGAGACACAATTAATATAATTCAGTCAGAAGTTTGGGGTTAAGGCGTCTAAAAATTCCACTTGAAGCTACCATTACCACATGCAATAGGGAGGCGTGCCCCAACAAGGGTCAACAACAATGTCCTCTTACTTAGCTCCTGTAGTCTTCTTAGGTGCATTCTCTCTTCCTGAGCTTCTTGTGTTTGAAGGCAAAAACACAAACTAGACTTGTCCATAGCAAACCAGCCTTTTCTCCACTGGTCCAGGGCATGGCAGTCTTTGTAGAAGAGTTGACCAATCAAATCATAGTCAGCTTCTGTTAAGTTTTCAGCAACAAAGGGAACAAAATGCTGTTAAAACAAATACAGAAAAGTAAGAAAGATAGTGAAAACAGGAAAGCCCTTTCCTATCTACAGATAAAGGCAGAAGAAATGAAAAGCTTGTCTTCAGTTTTCTATGTTAAAGACTCAAATAAATTCCTAATTGAAACTAATTAGTAATAAAAAATGCTATGGGATTTAAAGGAAATAGGTAATGTATATTTTCAAACAACAGCAAAATATGCCTTGCTTTCTTAGTATATAGGAAATAGTCTTTCTTGGTTGGTGGAATCATGGAAACAGCTAGGTTCTCATGCGTCATCCATTTGCATCAGTTACCAAATCTTTTCTTTTCCTCGTGGACATTGGGATAAGTAACATATCCATGAGAAAGCACAGGGAAAAAATGAGTTTACAATAAGAAGATGCTACCTTAACCATCAAAAATACAGAATTAGCTTGTAAGAATGAATTCTATCTATGTTCCACATGAATTGCTCGTCCTTTTCAGGCCCTAGAAGACTGCATCTATGATGGCCAGCTTTGAAAAATATGAAAAACTTTCTTCCTAGGATTGTAGCTAAAATGTTCCTGGGTCTTTGAACTTCAACTAGAGACCCCAAGTTTAGGCACTTTCCTGGATGTAGCAAATACACAATTTAAATACCTTGGCTATGGTCTCAGCCCATTTTCTTTGAATCTGAGATGTTTCAGCTCCGAACAAAAAGACACGTTCTGAGGGTAAGTAGATCTCAAAGATAAAGATCGGCCTACAGCAACCACAATTAAAAAAAAAAAAAAAAAACACACACACACACAGAATAAACGAATGCAACTATAAAAATCAAAAGAAAGGCAAATTAATTACTATCAGTTTATGCAGCATTGATAAATATGTAATGGAAAAATAGCACCTTTAAATAACTCTCAAATAGGATATATTGATAATGATGTAACAATGACAATAGTCCTTGTAATTTAATATAAATAACATCATCACAGAATCTTTTATAATAAAAATAACTAAAGTCTTTTTATTTTAATATTTATATATTTTCATTAACTACACTATAAAGCAAACACAGTGAAAATTCTCACATTAGTATCTCTCAGGTTGTTTCTAAAATTCCTCAGAGGTTCATTCAAGTTTTTTAAAAAGTAAAATATATTACATAAATAATTCTTACGCTTTTAATTTCAACATTTTCAGACCACAAATGTACCCAATTACACCTCAAAATTTATCTTTTAATGAGATATTTACAATTTTTAAGGGTTGATGATGTTGCTCAGTGGTAGTGTTCATCTGCTATCTTGTTCACTTTAACATAAGCCAATAATCACAGAACCTTCTCTTTTCTTGTCTGTTTTACATATGATGGCATTTCAACAAATATATGACTTTTGATTTTAGTCCACTATTTAAGCAGAGAAACTAAAGCACTTCAGTGATCAACAATGGAATAGTATAGTGCTAACTAGTTTTCAGAGAATTTCCTGTGGAGGTTTTAGATCAAATGAACTGGTTTGAGGAAAAACCACAGAATCATTTTACAGGAAGCAAAGGAAGAACATAAAAGGTAACTAAATCCTCATCACCTGGCACAGGGACTACCAAATCCCTTTCACCTCCCAGATACATAATCAAGGGTAGACATACCCAGTATTCAAATAGAAGTCCTCCTTATGGACAGCCAGGCAGATAACTTCACTGATGTTAATGGTGCCATTAGGCGTGGTACACTTGTCATTTTCATAGTAACTCAAGAAGCCGCCTTCCAAAACACACCACTTTTTATTTGTCTCTGAGAATTGAAAACAAAGCAAACAATAAATGGAACTATAATATAAACTTTAAAAAAAAATACATGACTCATTCAAATAAAGAAAAATGTACAAATTCCCTGTTTTAAAAAGGAGAAGCATCAGAGGACCTCATAGGATATAAAATTGATACACTTTTGAAAATAACGTATCACTGCAAAGAATGCATCAGATGACATTAGTGACCAGAGTAGCCAGTTGACTCGTAGAGTGAAGTCTGCAAAAACAGCTCTGGAACCAGAGACTGAGGTCTTCACAGAGCACTGTGGGGAGAACAAACTGATTCCGAAGGATGCAAAGAGGTGTTCAGATTCTGCAATGTCTGTAGTGTCTTATTTAGGAGTTTTCAAGTTCTTTATTCACAGGAGTTAGCACATCATATCGACCGCCATCACCTAGTACAATAAAGCTTTGTTGAGACACAGTGATGCCTGTGGCTCATTTGTCACTACAAGAACTGAACTATGTTAGGGCAGAAATTATCTGACCCACAAACTCTAAAATCGTGCTACAAGTTCCTTTTAGGAAAAGGTTGTTACCCCTTGATTAGGTCTATTGCCGTGGGGCAGGGAGGAGCCACAAAAATGGTTTTAGCTGTGGAAGATACTCAGGTATGGATTTTGTGCATTTGGATTGCTTTAAGCAATAGAAGTCTCTTTGTTTTTGAATCAGGGGATGAAAAAATGTATATTTGAGAAAGAAGATAAGCAGAAAAGGAAGACAGGGAAAATTAAATGAACGTAAAAGTGTAAAGGAAACCTCTACTGTTCTGGAACCGATTTATGTTTCTTGCTACCTGGGAATGATCAATTTCAGTACAACTGACCAAACCTCCAATGAAGGAATGCCTGCACAGAAACTGCAGATCTGAGAGATACCCTGAACCAGCATGTTAAAATAGCCGACGAACCATGCTTAGGGTCAAAACATGTATGCCTTGTTCACACTAAGAATTCCTTTCATTTTCTTTCCATGTTTTTGTCTTCACAGAACGCCTTTATCAGATGGAAGGTTGCACTGTGCCCCTCATAAAAAAACACTTTGTAATGTTATTTACAAAAGAAAAGCATTTTGGCAGGAAGAAAGAGATGAAACCATTCCTTCCCCTAACCACTAAGCCAAGGGTACTATAGGACACAAGATCTAATTTCAAAGCAATCTCTCTCTCTCTCTCTCTCTCTCTCTCTCTCTCTCTCTCTCTCTCTCTCACACACACACACACACACACACACACACACACACACACACACACACACACACACACAATCATGAAGAATTAAGGCAATGTCCTACAAAGTTCCAGAAAGGGTCAGTGGGCTCACACCTCATGAGTACAGAATGAGAAGAGAAGAAATTAAGTTTGTATTTGTTCAGGTAGGTTCACCCCCCCTCCCTCCCAGCACTACCCTCCAACCCTCATCTTACCAACCATACCCACCTCGACTCCCCACCCCATCCCCCACCCTCGCCCCATAGCTAAGATGCTATGCAACATCACTCCTAAGCTACAGGAAAACTAGGTCTCTTGCTCTGAAGAGAGCAACAGGTGAAAATCTAAACTATGACTCAAGCACTGCCTGAGGCTGCAGGAGAGCTTACTACAGGAACAAAGTAACTACATGACAAGAACACTCACCAGGCAGAGTAGCTATCAATTATCTAGCCACATTTCATAGAAGCTAAGAGGGAGGACTCACATAATACTCTGCAAGAGACCAGGTTCAGCCTTCTGATTGACACCAAATATTTAACAGAAACCATGGCGAAAGCAATTCTCTGAGAGCCCTCAGTGCAGCCTTGGGGACACCTGGATTTTAACCCAGTGACCCCTAATACCAGGAGTATAAAGGGCTGTATCTCTGTTGCTGGATGCCACCAACTTGGTGAAAATTTGCAAACTTGTAATTTCACAGTAGCATGATAATCACATAATCAATAAATGGTAATGTTATTTTTAAAAGTTTAAACTTGACAGAAGACATACTACTTTGGAAAAGCAACAAGAGAGAAGACTAGACATCAAAGGACTTCCTACGTTTGATTTGGTACTATGGTTCTTTCACTATGGTTATTTTACTTGCAAGTGTTTTTGTGAAGAAATGCACACTGAAGTAATGCGAATAAAGGAAACATCTGAAAATAAAAGGTAAATGAAAAGCAGGAGCGAGAGAAAGACAGAGAGAGAAACACAAAGATGAGGATAAAACACTAATGCTCGTATCTTATGAGCTATACATACACGGAAATTCTTTGTACACTCTTCTAAGTTTCTGTAAGTCTCAAGTCAAAGCTGTGAAAGAACAAATACCCTGACTTGATTCTTGAATTTTCTTTTAGCCCTTCATTGGACTCTTAGGGAAGAGTAGGCATGAGAAGCTGAGAAAAAGACAACATTTGGCAAAACAACAGCAAGAGCAGGTGAGCAGGACTGACGTAGGAGAACCTGCAAAGGAGGCAGATGAACATCAAGCAAAGTAATTCCTCCACGGCCACTGGAAAAGAAAGCTAACAGAGGCATGGTCAGTTCTTAGAGGAAGGCGACGCGGTTATTCAAAATTCTGAGTCACAGCATGTATCCTGTACCATTACAGAAGAAGAGGGAAAAAAAAAAAAAAAAAAAAAAAAATCCTGAAAGACCAGTAAGTTTCAAATGAAAATTTTAAAACATTTCCCTGAATTATTTTAAAAAGGAAGCCTATATATTAGCAAAAGGTAAGTCCATGCACTAATTTGAAAGGACAGACGAAGAGAATAACCTTCATAAAAGAATGAAACGAAAATGACACAGAGACACACAATGCCAGAGATTACTATTCTACACCAAGTCCTCCCAGTGGTCTACAACCCCCTTAACGGGAAACGTGTGTGGCGTGATAACAGTCAGATAGCCACATCAGGGACAACAGAGGAGCAGAGCATCCCCAGAAGAGAGCGGTGGGGGTAACCTCCATCCTTACCACAGCTTCTGCAGTGTAGTCTTTCATGGCTGGGGAACAGGCTTCTACAAGAGTGCACAGATTTCAAAACAAAAACCACCCAGGCTCCTAAGAACCCATGGGGGGGTGATGGGGGGGAAGCAGCCACAGAAAGGGACACTGTGAATATCCTACCTGGCCACCTGGCCGGATGATCAGGTTACAGAGGATGATAGGAAATTTGGAAGACAAAACTACAGAGCCCAGCTCATAGTCCTTCAAGAGTCATGAGTTTGTTCCTCCCTCAGAAGACTACTGGGAAACCATTCAAAGGCGGCAAACACTCAGGACCCAAAGTAATGATATATACAGAACAAACATGAATGCCGAATCTAATTAGGTCATGTCTAATGGAAAACAAATGGTAGACCTCTTTAAAGAGGGGGCTCCATACAGGTGTGGGCTTGAAGAGAATCACTCTTGTAGCTCTGACATGTCTACAACAACATCACTTGCATTAGAAATGGGTCAGAGGTCAGACAAGCCTCCGTTCTTCTTGTCGAGGATGGAGAATAACAAAGGTGTGATAGGAAATCTTGACATTCTTGTTAATTTGGGAAGCAACAAAAACCTGCAAAATGTTATTTGTCAATGCCCCCCCATCATGGAACCCTTCTCTGCTAGAGAAACCAAAAGCAGTTTTTGCTGAATGTCCACTAAAGTGAAATCAGGGCCATATATAATGAGTAAGTCCCAGAGCTCGGCCGGCTGCAGAGGAGTCTATATGTAAGAAGAAAGTGAAAGATGGGGTCCTTCTCTTCAATTGCAATTTTTGGGACAAGGAAGACAAACATTCATGTAGGACTTATCCAAACCCTACATTCATTTCCTCAGGCAGTCTATTACAGTATTCCATGGAGTGGTATGGATGTTCTAGTTTAGAACTGGGGTGGTCCAATGAGGCTCAGAGGACAAGGCACCTAAACTCAGAAGCTGACAGTGATCCAGAAGCTGCTGTGATTACAGCAATCCCTCAACATCTCCTCTCCTCATCCCCTGCTCCATCAGTACTGATCATTTTCATAGACCACGCAAGTTCTACCCATCTTATGGGTATGAATCCACGGAGCCTGCAGAATAACGTCAGAACTGGGCCCAAATCACTATCTTGTACCCTTTAAAAAATGATTTATTTATTATGCATACAGTGTCCTGGCTGCATGTTTGCCTGCAATGCAGGCCAGAAGAAGGCACCGGAACTCATTTACAGATGGTTGTGAGCAACCATGTGGTTTCTGGGAATTGAACTCATGATCTCCGGAAGCCTGCTCTTAACCTCTGAGCCATCTCTCCAGTCTTTTTATAGGCATAGAAAAGGTTAACTAAACTTCCCCAGGTGACATGAGCAGTCAATATAAGAGGGGAGGAGATTTCAAACAGGTAACATCTGGAAGCTACCCTTTAACCACTGAGTAAAGCACCTGGGTGCATGCTACATCAACAGACCACATAACCACTTTTAAAGTGGCATGGTAGGGAAGTCCCAAATTCTAATATGTGTGTGCACAATAGATCTGACGTAGTTAAGGCAAAGCTATTATCTTCCAAAAAAACCATGAAGTCATTTCCTAAAGTGATGATATTCAGCTTTCACTTACGAGAAGAATACGCATCAATGATTTTTTTTTTTTTTCATTTAAATAAATATGCTTTGGCATTGGAAACACATTTAAAAAAAAAAAAAAGTAAAACAACTTAGGCTTTTCTTCAGAATAAGGGGCTTTAAAAACCTATCCTTAATGTATGAAATTGAGTATAAACAGAGTGAAATAGGAGACCAGTAAACCCTATCAACCACTTTCTGTTCAGAAAGCAAAGGCTGCACAAACTAATCAAAGCCAAGCACCAAGGGAAACACACAGGCTTGAAGGCGGGAAATGGGAAACAAAACCTGGATGCTGTATTATTCAGCTTTGTGCGGAGGTATAACGGGGGCTATCAAGCTTTCTTTTTCATGATCTGTCTTCCTAAGCAAGCGCCAGGAGAACTTCAAATCTGGAAAGGCTGCACTGACAACTGGGAGCCTCATTTCATTCCCAGACACTCCCCCACCTCCCCACCCCCATCTTCCTGTTGGATCCTCCCATTCCCACCACTGACCCGCCCCATCCCACCCCAGGGAGGATGAGTCCTTCCATGGGGGACCATCAAAGTCTATCACATCATTTGGGGCAGGGTCCAGGCCCTCTGGATGTGTCTAGGCTGAGAGAGTATCCCTCTATGTGGAATGGGCTCCCAAAGTCCATTTGTGCACTAGGGATAAATACTGGTTCCTCTGTCAGAGGCCGCATAGCCTGCCCAGGCCTTCTAACTGACACCCGCCCCAGCAGGCCAAAACACCCAGTCTGCCACCTTCACAGTCCTAGTTCCATCTTTTAGTTCTGATGTGAACTTTACCAAAAATATTTAGTTAACTCCTGAAATCTAATGGGGAAGATTCAGCAATATACTTTTATAGCATCAAATGTGCATTACACAATTCTAGGGTTCCTTTATTTTTTTTAATCATATTTGATAAAAAAGACCTTAAAGAGGTCTGATGAGCCTATTATTAGTCTAGACAATAGTCTGTTATATTGGGAAACTTGGAGAAATTTCAAGTACCTGACTATATGCACTAAATTAAAGACTGAAGGATGGTTACAGAACACTCTAGAAATCAGCAAAAGCACTGCCAAATACTTTATGATGTTATGCAAAGAGCTTAGTAATAACTGTATTTGATATATAGTTTAACCTCTCAAAACTTTTGGAAAGCTTAGCATTTATTATCCCTTAGGCCAAGTAAAGACAATGGTAAAAGTCAGTGTGTGTGTGTGTGTGTGTGTGTGTGTGCGCGCGCGCACTCTTAAAGCAGAAAATAGTATTTCTTCCTACTATCCCCCATCAGATTGCAGTCAGGATGAAAAACTACAATACAGCTAAGATGTATCACAACTGGCTCTTTCCTCCTTCCAGTGAAAACTACTTAATATCAGTTTGATCTATTATGTGGCCACCAATTACTGGGCACAAAATCCTTAAAGCAGGATAGAATTTTTTTTTTTTTCAGAAGAATCTGATACACAGTTCATCCTAATTTATTTCTACTGTGAGATATATAACATAAAAAATAAAGCTTAAACATACTTAATAAATTTGAAACTAAAAGTGATCCAAATGTCTGGAAAAAAAAAAAATCAGTGTAGACTCAATAGCCACAAATTCATAATTTCTTAGATTTGATAATCTTTTTATTTGTGTAAAGAACATTTAATTAGTAAAGGCTATGGAAATATCCAAAAAGAAGCAGCAAACAACAACAAAGCAAAATAAAACAAAAAACCCATGAAATCTGAAACAATTCTGGTCAGAAGCCATTTCTGACATGGGACACCACAAAGAATTTACAGGGAACAATCACTACAAATGAGCAAACATCAGGTAAAAGAGTTTTACTCAGGCACGAAATCTAAGGGGAGCAGAGATGATACCTTCAAGAAGCTTTTTCTCTGTAGAGACCCGGGAAGCAGCCGCAGGAGCGTGGTATAAGAAGTCACAGAGGAAGGTGGAGTGGGCAGCCTCCTGACTTGACCCACCCTCAGAATGGACCTCGTGCTGGGGGAAGTCTGGAAAGGACAAAGAGATGTTTACACTTAGTTCTGAAATGTGGTAAAGCTGCCTTTCGCTTAGGAATCTGTGATGGCATTTGGAACTAGAAGCAATATAGGTCCTGATTTATGACCAAATAAACACAGAGAGATTTATTTCACTTTGTGTAAAATTTGCAAACGAGCACTTTAAGCCACATTTATTATTCAAGTATGAAAACTGGATTTAACTTTGAAAGAAATGATTATGCAGGATCAACTACTTTAATCCTCCATTTATAAGATTGAAGGACATGAAAGATATAAAAATCCTATACTTTTTCTACTATAAAGCAGTACCTGAATAATGACATGATTTTCTTGGTCAAAAAAAAGCAATGTGTTTGTGCTTCATTTCTTTTCTCTTCCTTTTGGGGATGTATCTGAAGAGAGCAGTCAGCACAGAGCGAGAGACAAACCTGAGAACTTGTTGTGGTAGAGAAATTCCATCTGCAGACTCTGCCCGGCCTTCTTGGCCAGCAGGTAGGGCGTACTGTGCACGGGGTCTCCTGTTGCACACATGACATCTGCTCCACTGAAAAGCAGGGCCATCGTTTCCAGCACATCTGGCTTTACAACCGCCGCACACAGAGCCTGGCCGTTAAAAGAAGACACACCATTTACGGGAACCGCATGCGAGTCCAGCTCTCAAAAGAAATGCATGTTGAACGATGTGTTTAGGAAGCCTGCATTCCTTTCTTTCCCATACTAATAAAATGGCCTGAATCGGTCAGTGGGCATTAAAGGGCTACTCCTCATGGGGTAAAGACATATAGCTAAAGGGTTCAAAGACTCTGTCCACTGTCTTGGTTCTGGAATGGTCTCCTTCTGAACCTTCCATACCATCACGAATCCTCTGGAAGACTTGTTCTGCTATGATTCTGTACTGGTTGGAGCTAAGAGATTTAAAACATTTCAAATGTAATGAAGTGACCCCTAAATGATCTACACTAAGAGTATTGGTTACATAACGATAAATGCCACTGAAATCTGTGCATCATGTTATATTTAAGTCACCTTATTTAACTCTTCTTTGGTCAGAGATGCTAAGAGAGTCTTTCTGAATTTTCCTTCTTTGTATTTCTGGGTAATAAAGGTTTTTCTCTTTTCGACTGGTGAGTCCATGTGTAATTCTTCATCTTTTTGAAGGTTACCAGCCCAAAAGTCGTTTGCTCTCTTGTTTCCAATAACAATAAATAGCTGAAACGGAAAAGGAAAAAAAATGTGTGATTCCATTAAATATGTTTGGACCTCCAAAATCGACTCACATCCTAAACTAAAACCTGACTGAACACGAGATACAGGAGAGAGCATGAAAGCCAGCACTCTCTAGGCAGATGAGGACAGATAGTGGACAGCAGACAGGGGTTCTAAATCAGCATCCGCTGGGAAACCAAGCACAGGCTACAGAAACGCAACAGGGGCGGCCTTACTCCATGAACTCACATTGAGACAGATTATTATTATTATTATTATTATTATTATTATTATTATTATTATTATTATTAGCTGCTACTAGGATGTCTCAAGGAGAGGCAGTGGAACAGGAGAGGAAATAGCGAGACTGTAAGATAGGACCAGTGGGTTAATGACAAAGCTCAACCCACATAAAGAATGCAGAACTTTGCCAAATATGTTCATTTACTCTTCTAATACGTTCCCGTGCGGGTTAAAAAACAGAAACAGAGTTCTCACTTTCCTCAGAGTTGCCACATCGTTACATCCTGAGTATCATTAAAGTTCTTTGTAGTCTTTATTTTAAAAATAACTACCTAATTCGGGGAGCTATGCACTGCCGTTTTCACACCACCGGGAGAACTTCATCTAAGAACTTCTGAAGAAAAGTAACTGCTGTCTACTGCCAATCTCCTCCTGTCTCTGCTCACACACACCAGGGAACAGGACTTACCTCAATGAGCTCATTACTCCAAATACTGGCATCCATTTTCAGACTTCTAACCTTAGAGTCTTTTGGACCCAATGATCTATGTTGTCCTGAAGGAAAAAACAATTCCATTTCCATTTTCATTTGAATGTGAATGTATTTTGCCTTATTTTTCTTTTCTAAATGTATAAGGAGGGCAGCAAATATAGTTCAGGGGTCAAGGACTTGGCCACATGTGTAACACCCTATGTTCGATTCCCAGCAATCCCTTCCCTCCACAGACCATACACAGACATGTGTGGGTGAGGGATGGAGGGATAGTTCAGTTAGTAAAGTACTTGCCTTGCTAGTAAAGAGCTAAATGCAATCCCCAGAAACCACATAAAAATATCGAGGCATGGTGGTTGTTTGTGTCTATAATCCTAACACTGGGGAAGTTGTGAACCCTTTGGGGCTGGTGATCAGCCAGCTTGGCTTACTAGAGAATTTCTAGGTTAGTAGGAGAACTTTGCTCACAAAATTAAGTAGCCAACAAACTAAATACGTGAATAAATAAATGTATATGGTACCTGAAGAACAATACAGAAGGTTGTCCTTCAACCTCCACATGAATGCACATACATGTGCTGTGTGTAGCATATATGTGTACACCTGCTAAAACACAAACATGCACACATGCACACAATGTATATAGGTGTGTGTGCATATATGCATGTGCATGTGTGTATGTGTGCATGTATGCATGTGTGCGTGTGTGTGTGTGTGTGTGTGTGTGAATAAATAGCCTGGAGCCACAAAACATTTTTTTTTTTTAATCATTGCTTTTTTGCCCTTGGTGGTATGGGGATCACCCTAGCCCTTTGCTGCTACTAGAAGTGTTCTAATCCTGAGCTATTTTTATAAACAAGGAAAATCTTTATAGTGGGTTAAATCTCGTGCATGTAAATAAAACTATCAATACCAGACAATCTAATGTGACAATTACAGCAAAAAAAATGAGCTTTTAATTATGACCTAAAAGCAATATTAGAAGCCTGAGGGTTGCAGAAGGAGACAGGGATGCTACAGCAGCCTACGTAAGAATAGATAAGCCCAGAGAACCAGATAGATGGCTCGGCGGTCAAAAGAACTTGCTTCTCTTCCAAAGGCCTAGGGTTTAATTCCAAAAACCCACAGAGAAGTTCACAAACATCTATAACCCTTGTTTCAAGGGAACCTATGCACTTTTCTGGCTTACATGAGTATCAGGCATGGCCATGGCCACAGACATGCATGCAGGCAAAATACCAATACTGGTATAATAACTTTTTAAGGTAGAATATATGAGCTCTAAATGGAGGGAAGAGGACCAGACAGCAATGGAAATGCCATTGAGATGACTTGGGCTTTAAGGACACCATAGGGTTTGAGAGTGTCTCTTTCATTTTAGGCCATTGTATAAGGCAGGCAGTACATCTTCTCATCAGTATGGGACAAGGATGAAAATATTCAGACTTACACACTGGGCTAGAAGCAGCAATGACAACTCTACTTCTGACATTTTTTTTTTCTTGAGTGCCTTTGGAAAAACTAATCTGAGATTCTCATAGGCCATGAACACCATCTTCTTAATGAGTGCTCAATACCAAGGAGAAGCAACCTTTATACAAAGAGTGAGAACTGAAGACAGAGCTCAAGGCACACATGTACTTCGTGCAGCAGCGTAAAGTGGTGAGGTCACTTAAACACGGATGACAACCATTAAGACAGCATGACAGCGTTGTTTACTGACGCTGTTGGTAAGGGGGACTGACGTCAGAGAGAGACGTACCAGCCACAGGTCTCAAATTTTCCAGAGAAAGCAAACAAGATAAAAATGGACCAAATGAAGACTGAGAGGCAAAACAGACTAGTAAAATAAGAGAAAAGAAGGCTTGTTACAAAATGCCGAAGGGAAATGGAGTTAAAGGAACGAAGAAAACCTGTGCTGGTCACTGGATAGCAGTGAAAGCCACCCAAATTTGAAAGGGGAATAGGGACAGGGAGTGATGCAAAGAAGGGAAGGGAGAACTTTAAGAAAGCTCAGTGGTATAAGGGGCAGACTGATGCAAGTCTTCACGATGAAACGAGAAACTGGTCTAGAGCCTAGGTGAGTGATATACCGACTCTAAGGGGGGAGAGAATGAAATGGGGCACGGAGGAATAGGTAGGAACAAAGCAATCTCTCCTGATGAGATGGGAGAGACAAGGAAGAGAGAAAACACTACAGAGAGGATCACGGCAGGGCCGATGTTTCCCACTGCACTTATGTGAAGTGGTCAGGAAAGCTGTCACAGTAGGATACAGAGCTCCAGAAAGTGCAGCAGCTTCTAGACAACTGCTGGTGCTGTGTTGCTCACTCTCTGCCTAGACTGAGTCAGAAGTTCCTGCCCCGCCCTGCCCCGCCCCGCCCTGCCCTGTCCTGTCCCATCCAGTCCAGTCCTGTCCAGTCCTGCCCTGTCCTGTCTCTGGGTATGGTAGTAAATTCTAATCTCACTCTCATCACCGTCTATTGTAATAACAATTCCTGTATTTGTTGAAAGAACGTCATGTCATACAGCTTTTTACCTCTGTAGACCAGCATCAGAACAGCTAGTAGTCTAGGTAAATTCTGCATCTGTGGTGTTGGACTCAGGTATCTGAACAGGGGAAGGCAAGTGGCCACAGAGTTTGGGAGACTGGACTTGGCTAAGTTTCTCCAGGTCCTCCCTGAGGCATTGCATAGAGCTGCAGTCTACTTCTATCTACCCTCTTGAATATAGATCAGGGATCACAAATGCACTGAGATGCCAGAAAACAAAGTATAAGTTCACAAGAAGGAAGGCATTTGGGGCACTAGCTCTTTCTATAAGAATCAATTCTGATGGGAAGCACTCCATTAGGAGATGGCAGATCCAGCATACCAGAACAGAGCCAGAACTTCTTCAATATAAAAATATACACCTTGAAGCAATGACGAGACCTGACTGAAAGCATTTGTGCAAGCAAGCAAACTTGTTCTGTAGGTCTTCTAAACCCCACCCCCACACACACGCACACACAAAAACATTGACCATGTTATTTTAAAAACCTATGCATGGACCAGTAAACCCAAGATGTTATTGCATATTTTAAAACTAATTATTTTTATCAAATCCGCATAGAACTGAATACAGGATTGTACGGTATTTCCGAGCGGTCTTCACTCTACTAAGGTTTATCCCATTTATTTCATTTGCACAACCTTTCCCTAGGACACATTATGTCTCATGGCAAAGAATGGCCAACCCAGTCAGAAGTGAGCACAGCTCATCACTAATTACCTGCACACTTCTTACAAATGACAACGCAGAGATTGATGGATGCCCAGTCAGGGTCTGGGGCTTTGCAGTCTGCACAGCTCCTGTTGGATTCATTGAACCAAATCTTCTCTGCTACTTCATAATCAGAGAGAGTTTCTGCGATTGACTGCTGCACAGCTTCAATCCAGTCCTGCCTCTCTTTTTCAGACTCCGCTGTAAAGCTAAAACAATCAACGTCTCTGCATTATTGATCTCCCTTACACGGGCCAATTAAGCAGGGTGTTCAGTTTGCATATTCATCCCAGACACAAATTAAATAGAAGCTGAAATTATGCCCGCTGGGCAGTTCGAATTGTCTTTTGCTATTAAAAATTATCTAATTTAACAAATCATCTTCTTTTTCCTCTTATTTTCCAACTGCTTACGGCCCTATTCACATATCTTTAACCAAAATTAACACACTTATTATTTCTGATGAAGACACACAGGAATTGCCTTGGTAGGTCAAAACAAACAGAGCCATGCCTCTGAAGCAATGGGTTATATAATAATCAAAAGGAGACTGGCAGTGTTTCATGACTGCTGGAATATTTTTGCCAGGAAAGTATGCCATCATAGTCTAAAACTAAAATTATATATATATATATGTATATATATATATATATATACACACCCACCAGAAATTGTGATTTTTGTCAGATTTAAAAATGGATTTTTTTTTTAATTAGAAGACTGTCCAGATGGCATTAAGAGACTGAGAAACAAGAAAAGTTTTAAATGGTTACTATTTCAAAGGATTCCTAACTCAATTTTAGCCAGCTCTGACACAGTCTCATTTCTTGGGGTTGGCTTGATGCCTCACAAAAAAGGATAAAATATTAAAAAGAAGATTGATTACTATAGGTAATATACACATATGCCTCAAAATAAAACCCCCTGTAAGTTATCTGCCACATTCATTAAAAAAAAAGCTTATGAACTGTAATGACTTGAAATATAATGAAAATAATTGGTAGCTTAATATTCTAAGGGGGTTCATAAAATCAGTGCCTTATAGGAAATGAATTTTCTGAATAACTTTATGATTACACCATAAAAAAAAAATTCTTACTGATTTCAAGTTCTTCAAGAGGTTAGTTACAGCCAGCATTTCTCTTTAGCTGAGGCTGTAATCGTTCTCTCTCTCTCTCTCTCTCTCTCTCTCTCTCTCTCTCTCTCTCTCTCTCTCTCTCTCTCTCTCTCTCTCTCTGTGTGTGTGTGTGTGTGTGTGTGTGTGTGTGTGCATGTGTGATGTGTAATGTACTGAGGGTGGAAGCCAAGGTTTTGTGCATACTAGGCAAACACAGTGCCAATTAGCTTCGATCCAAGCTTCAGTTCTACAAGTGTAAAAGTAAAACTTACTCTCCTTTATTTGAACTTTTTTATTTAAATTAGAAACGATCTTATTTTATATATTAATCCTAGTTCCCTCTCCCTCCCATTCAAAGTTGGAGCCCATAGACATATTTTGAGAAACAAAACGTACCAGATACTCAAGAGTACCTCAGAAATAATTAAGTCATTCAAAAACCTAAAACAATTGCCTCTGATTCACAAATAGCCTGACCTGACAAACTGGGACAAATGTGTTGGTGAAGTTGCACTCAACAAACTGCCCATGTCTATACCACACATTGAACCTACAGAAGAATCATTATGCATGGTTAAAGTATGCTAAGTACGTTAAGTAGCGTTCATTGTCATAGTGGTGAAGTTGCTCAAATACCACAATACATTTTGTTTTAGGCATAAAAAAAAAAAAAAAAAAAAACAAGATGTTAAAATTTGAGTCAATAACTTTATGTGATCCATCAAACCCAGAATGACTCTTAGCTGAGTCACTGGAAGAAATCACATGAGGCAGCTTTAATTAAAAGTCAATCCTAAAGTGGGATGCACTCAATTACGCTAAAAGAAAGTAAATACAACACAAACACAATGCAACACTATTTCATTGCCCCTAAAGGTAAAAGAATTGTAATGTGTCCACTGTGCTCTGCTTATAAACCAAACACTGAAGAAAGAGGCAACTCAGGACTCATGAGGAAAATATGTACGCCAGTGGCACAGTCCTCCAGGTCACTTTCAGGGGGACTTCCTACATGCCTAGCAAGTTGGGCAACACGGACACGATTATATTAATTGTTCCAGAAGATGTAAAACTACCTCCAGCATTACCAAATGGATTTCCCAGGCCTTTTAGTAATCATAAAACAAATACTCACACACACACAAAAATGTTTAAAAATAGCTTACCTGAAACTCCTATAGGGAGTGATTATCTCAAAAGATTGCTTCACAGCTCGATCTACTTGTTTTACATTTGCAACATTCATAGGAATTATGGTAATGCCGAGTCCACTCTTAAAATCCTAGTATGGGGCAAAAACAAAAACATAATGTCTTTCTGATTCAAAACCTCCTAGGAACCTTACTCCTTATACCTTGGGAGATAAAGAGACTCAACTTGAAAAGGAAATGATCAGTTCTCTCAGGAGGCCGTCCCTTCCTGTATCTGCTAACACTGCTCCAGCCTAAGCTACACTGGAAGCTGATGTCTTTCATATGAAAGCTAAGTTGACAAGGTCATAGATATATATGTGCCTTGCTTTGAACAGGGGGAACTATTATTTACCTGCATCCAATCAACAAAGGAGACTAACAAATCAGCAACCTTTGCCATATGCCAAACATTTATTTGTTAGGGAAGTCAAACGGCATTATGAAGTCAGCATCCATCAATAGCCTTAGTATGAGAAGATGGCGAACAGAGACTCAAAGACATAGTTACAAGTGGTAAGAATCTAGCTTTGCATGAGGGAAAGGAACAAAATGCAGAGCTGTTGGTGTTTGGTTAATCGGGTTGCAATGGCCCTGCTGTGGGAATGCATTCCTCTTCATTTACATTCAAAAGGCATCGCCCTTTTATCAGTTATACCAAGTTTACCTTCCTTAATATTCCAATCAGACAAAATGCCCCTGTAACATGAAAACTACCCTTTGTTCACCACTAATAGGCACTGAGTTCACAGTGCCCTACTGAAAATTAGAATAGAGGAGAGCATAATCTGAAAGCAACAATGTTGGCAATATGCTGCCTAATCATATGGGCTTGGTAGCTTAGCAATAAATGAGCTCAATGTTTTGCTAAAACACCACCTCAAGAAAGGTGTGATCTGTGTAAATAGATTCAGACTAAATGTTCCCGGAGCTCCTAAATTGTGGTAAGACACATCCGTAATAAAGCAAAATACAAAAAAATATTGTTCTATTTTCAATAAGGACACTTAGCAAAGATAATTTAGAAAAACCGAGAAGAAGGAAAAGCAACTCCATCGAAAAAAGCTATTGTAACTGTTGTGTGGGGAGGGAGAGTACTATGAATTTCTGTTACAGGTAAGGCTATATGTCCCACATTTGATCTATACAATATAAAATATTACATGCGAGGACATGCAGATACCTATTATAAGAAGAAACTCTTTCACCCCTTATCTTTTCCACATTTGTGTAGCAATGTCATCTAGGAGCAAACAGGTCATTTTAGAACAAGGTAGTCCTTGGGAAGTCCATGGACAAATGAGTGTGAAGATCCCTGTTCCTGTCCACAGCGATGCTTCTCTGCCCTTGCCGAGTTTCACTATAAGAAATCCTGTGTCTTAACTGTTCTGTAGGCCTCTGTGGTTACCACTAATGCGTTTTTAGTTGATAAAACTAAAACAAAATAGTTTTCACACATGTATACATGTGTGTATGTAAACACATATGTATCATGTAATCAGAGCCATCAGTCACACATTGTGAAAACACATTTATTACTGATATTATCATTCATCTACTTTTCATTATGTGTGTATTTCTAGTCTTGGGAATGCATGTTTTTATGCATGGAGGGAGATCAGAGGAGGATGCCAGCTCATATATGCTCGCTGCTTTGCACCTTATTCTCTAGAGACAGGGTCTCTCACTGAACCTGTAGATACGCTGGTGGCGTTGAAGTCCCAGAAATTCTCCTGTGGCTATTCTCCCTAGTCCCGCAGTTACATTCACATGTGTGGACATGGCTGGCCACAGTAGCATGCATATAACGTAGACATGCCTGGCTTAAGTCGCAGTCATATTTGTGGAATGCCTGGTTGTAGTTAAATATGCACGTGTGGACATGCCTGAGTGCGAGTCCTAGGATCTTAAAACAGATCTTCATGCTTACACACTAAATGCTCCTACACACTGAGCCATCACCTCAGGCCCTATTTATTATTCTTCCATTTAAACATTTATAGATAAAATCAGAAAAATTATTTATTTAGAAAACAAATCAACAATCTATTACATTTTCTGATAGCACATAATAAATGGCTCACAATGTTAGGATAGAAAGGCAGAATTTGAGAATAAGGAATATAAAATCATACATATATCTCAAAAAATTAAAAAAGAATGTTAGAGCAATAAAGCAAAATGAAATATTGACTATTATGAGCTCATTACAATGAGAGAATGATACATTTCCACTTTGTGTAGTTAGCCTCCGATGACAAGCAGCATGCCAGGTGAGGAGGGACATGACGCTATTCCAAGCAGCCAGGTATTAACACTTTTCCACATATCAGCGCAGGGCTGAACTTACTTTGTAAGTTAAAATACCAATTTCTAATTATCCACCTTAATGTCCCTTTTGGGTAACACAACTTCTGGATACACTCTCAATGTTGTGTACCTGGAAACTTAAGCCTTCTTTTATAAAGGAGGACTTTGGATGAGACCAGCAAAATGAGTCACCTGTCTAAACTTGATATAGGGATCAAGTCTAGATAAAACAGTGTGCCTTCCCCGAATGGCCTTCTGACAATTTTCCACAATGAGGCTGGTGACAAGAGATGGATATCAGGTCACTCCACAGTATTCCGTGAGGTGTCTGGCCTGTGAGCATTGTGTGACACTAAAGTTAGAGGCTCATAATGCTTTAACCACCAGACTAGAGGACAGTGGGAATGTCAACCCATTATAGAAACTGATGAGGCCCATCTCGGTTTCTGCCTGGATGGATGGCCCCTCGTCTCTACCAAGGAGGCATAAAATCTCTACAGCTAAAACAGTAATTCCTGGTAAAGTAGGGGTCAGTTCAGCATTCCACTGTGCTCCCCAGCAAGACAAAGATGATATTTTCTTATCATAAAAAAAATGTAACCCATTTATCAAATGTCTGCCATGGCCATATGGTTCTGAGTAATTAGAGGATACACATAGCTCACAAGCACCGATTGACTGTAAAATACAGAACAGAGTAACAAAATAAATGTCAGTGCTCTTGAGAGCCATTAAATGTGAAACAACATCATTTCTTATTAAGAATACTTTGGTGATATTTGGCTCCCTTTCAGACTAATAGAACATGTTCAGACTATGTCCTATTTCTGTGTGTTTGACAAAATTACCTATGTCCATCTCTATTTCACATCATGAGAATTAACATCATGGGAAAATAAAAAAGAACACAACCATAAAAGTCTACAATTTAAAAAACTAGAACTCTCAACCTAAGATTCTCATAGTTACACTGAATATGAAAGCAAAAATGTTAACAGAATTTAGATAGTATTGAGTCTAGACTGTCTAGGTACCAAGACCCAAACATGTCCCTCTGCCTTCTGTAGAATGAAATACAGAGAACAATCCAAATATAGAAAATTCCATTAAGACTACTAGTTGCAAATAAGCATGAGGACGCAATAGAATTCAGTTAGTTCTATCTATCCTGGGCTCTGAGTCCTGTGCAGGGCTGGAAATCCATCTTGCTGTATCATTTTGGAGAGAAGCAAGTTCATGTAAGTAAAAGAGGCTCAGAAGACTGTCCAGTCACAGTGAGTGGCACAAGTCTAGTTACCTATCACGAACCCTATCTCTCCGACCACTTCCATCTGCAGCCAATGGAAGGCATTACCTATTCTGAAGTCAAGCTCAAGAAAGTACATGTTCCAAAGCAACAAGCTCACATGACGCTTTTGAAAACACACTAAAACAGGAGTGTTAAACGTTCAAAAAAAAAAAAAAAAAGCTAAATTAAATTACACAATATTCTGATTATGAGTTTTATTCTCGGTCTGAACAATAATGGAAAAGCGAGAGAAGCCAAACGTTCAATCCTTAAAAGGCTGTCAACCATATAAACTCATGAAAGGTAGAGGGCTAGGGAGGGCTTCTAGGGTAAGCAATTCCCTATATTTAATTTCTGTGGCTAACGCAGATTTTTCAGAAAGCAGGAAATTACTACTATCAACAAGGATCACATGTGTTGCTTAACATAATCCAGACATTGCAACTCTGCAAATGCCTTGGCACTGACAGGCTCAAGGAAGAAACCTGGCTAGATAAGTAATAGCAAGCTACCTATCTAGACCATAACCACATCATTTGTAAATAGCGTAACTCTACCTTAAAGTACTGTTATAGGTATTAAATGAAATGATATAAGTAAATTAAAACCTTGAAAGAGTTTTACAGGCAGAATTTGGTATTCCTAAAACAATCCATTTCATCTGTAATCATGTAAAGACTCTGGACTAAATATTCAGAGAGAATTTATCACAAATATTGACCAAGAAACCAAAACGAGTCATTTACACAAATTTATGCAATGAGAGTAATTCTGAATTGCTAAAACCACACCACCCAAGAGCAAAACGAAACGCTGATCCCTAAAGAGAGAAATTAAAGAAGAGTTTGTTAACCCCTAATCTGCTGAAATCTCAAACCCATTTTTAGAAACAGTGAATGCTAGCTTTCCCCTGCCAGGAATTTAAGAACTTGGTGCTTAGACATTTGTTGAAAACAGATGTGGCATTGTACGACATTGGCACCAGACTTCTAGGAAACACCAGATGCAGAGCTTGGCCAGTGTGAGAACCCAGAGAATGTGAGGTCACCCCCTACATCCTGTGGCTTCGTTCTGTGTTATGCAAACCAAGCCTTCAGAGGACTATTTAAATTCTATTAGTACTCCATCCCCATGCCAAAGTGTCAAGGGACTTTACATCAGGAGGAAGTGCCTCTTGTTTTACTGTGATTGGCGGATATTTAATGGAATGAGTTTGTGTAGTTAAAACCCAGTGCCACAATCAGCATCAAATGCATGCCCAAACCCCAACAAGCAAGACATCTGGTTGTAATGAACGGGCTAATTTTAGCACGATATTTTAAAAACTCATCAGGAAGAGATGGTAGACTATCAGGAAACCGGAACAAACGGAAACCAAGGCCAGTTTTCTTAAATTTGTCTCATGTCCATGTGCTGAAAGTCTAACCAACTAAGAATACCAGGAACAAATATTTCAAAATATGTCCATACTTGATTATTGCACTAGGTGTGGTG